ACACCAAAGTCACTAAAGAAATTACATTTTTGGCGACTACTTTTGGCGACGACGTCAATTTTTCATCGCCAAAAGTATATTTTTGCGACACAGTGATCAATTTCGTTGGTAAAAGTATACCTTTACGACGCAATTTGTTGCCGTCGCTAAAAAGGCATAACATTATTTTAGCGCCAAATTTTGGTTTTGGCGCCAAAATTTCAAAACTTTTACCTACGAGGCTTATGTTTTAGCAACACAATGAGCGTTGCTATTAGTTGTTTACTTTTGGCGATGACAAGTTGGCGTGGGCAAAGAGTTAAACATTTAGCGAGATAACACTATTCGTCGGTAAAAGTTGCTAGTGAAACAAGTGATCTAGTGATTTGTGTTTTTATTATAACTTTTGAAAGAATTTTAAATATTCTAGTTATTGAATTGTAAAATTAATGTGATCATTGAATTAGATCACAAAAATGAACCCATCAAGCCAAACACACTCTTTAAGTTGAGATGGTTAATTTGAGATAATTTAGAAAAAGTGGTTAGATTATCAATTTCAATATGTTAGTTTTATTTTTATAAACTAGTTTCAAATTTTTTTTCTAAAAAATTAAAAAAAAATTGGGTGAAAAATTAAAAAATACTTATTATTTTTGTATAATTTTATCTTTTAGGTCATAAATAATTTTTAAAATTTTAAAATATATTTTTGATTTTTATTACTCTCAAATTAATTTTAATTTTTTCAAAAAAAACAAATCTAAAAATTGTTTCGGATATATATTTTTAAGTGTGATCTGCCTTTGGTGAGGCAGTGGCAATTTCCCTCCAAAATTCCACCCTCCCCTCCCTTTTTTTTTTTTCCCTCCGTTATCAAATCCCCCTCATCACTCTCTACGATTTCACTCTTGCACACCCTTCTCTCACAATTCGTAGTTCTCTCTTCCTCATGATTCACTCTTGATCACCGGTTTGTGCGTTTGTGCTGCCGTGCGAGAGGTCGGTGCTCACTCTGCCCCTATAGATTTGTTCCCTTTTGCTTTGTATCTCTCTCTCTCTCTCTCTCTCTCTCTCTCTCTCTCTCTCTCTCTCTCTCTCTCTCTCAATTTCTTAAATTATAAATAGCTTTGATTTTTATTTTGTCCCTTTCCCAGACTATACAGTCAATTGGAGTGAAGCGTTGAGTAGTAAATTTAATTAATTCCTAGTGATCGAAACTTGACAACGACGACGAAGGTGTGCACGTTAAACCAGTAGAGAGAGAGAGAGAGAGGAGCCGTGTTGTGCCCTGTATCTGGATGCGACTCGATCGGCGATGCCTAAGATGAAGCATCTGCTGCGAAAGCTTCACATCGGCGGTGGCTGCAACAACGGCAACCACCACCCGTCACAGCCGCAGACGGTGGAAGTGACACCGCCGTCGTCTTCTTCTTCGGCTTCATTGGAATTGGCATTGATGAGAATCAGAGCGGTTGAGTCGGCGGAGAATTCGGTTGATTTCAATTTCTTTGAAGAGGAGTTTCAGGTACAACTTGCCCTAGCGATCAGTGTTTCCGACCCCGATTCACGCTAGGATCCTGAAACAGTACAGGTCAAGGATGCCAAGCAGATTAGCTCAAGGTGTGTGCCCTCTGAAACCCTGACTGAGTCTCTCTCTTCGGTATTGGGTAATTCTTTAATTTTTTTTTTTACATTGCATATGGCAATCTTTTGTATGTGCTTTGGTTGCATTTATTGGCAAATTTAATCGAATTGCTTCAATATTCTTACTCCAAATCTGTGTTTTTTTGTTTATAGATATTAATGAGTCACATTTCAATTTTATATTTGATTCATAGCTTCAAATTGATTAGATTCTACTATAGTTATTTTTGTGTACATATGTACCAAGGTTTCAAATAATGGTGGCATTGATGCGGTTTTGAGGTGTAACGGGCTTAGCATAACTGGTGCGGCAACCAAAGCTGTAAAATTGCATTTGTTGAGGTTTAAAATGTCTTTTTAAGTGGATTTAGTACTAAATTTTATATGATTTTTAATGGTGTCGTAATAACCAGTTAGAGGTTTTACCTGAATTTATCTGTTTTAGAGAAATGAATCCAGATGCTGTCATTCAAATAATAATAAATCACTACTAAGGACAATTATGTGCAAAATACGATGATTATTTATTTATCATTTGATAAAGCGCATGTTAGGTAGTTGTTTATTAAGTTTGGTTAGTCACATAGTCATTCTATGCCAATTAATGGTGTAAATCTGAGTTTGGGGGTGAAGGAACTTATATTATGGAATTACTGCTGATGCTTTCATTTTGGAATAATTTGTGATATCTACAACTATACAAAAATGCATATTTACTCAAACTATTAAATCTTAATGATAAAAACTGGATGGCACATGCTTGATTGAAACACATGGTTACACCTCTCTCCGTGCGTGTGCATGCAACATATTACTCTCTTTTCTCCATGTTCAATTTCTATACCAATATTGATAGTACATAAAGAACTCTGAATCTGGTATGCACTTACTAGTTCTTGTATTGAAGCTACTACAGGTTATTGTTGTTGTCTTCTTTAGCTTAATACACATGAATAACTGAAAGTCTGGAATTTTTATTTTTTAATCTTTCATAAAATTGCAGTGATTCTTTTTGATGGTGTGAAGTATAGTATATATATATATTTGGGCTCTAATTGAAGCTGATAACTCTGCGACATAGGTTTTGAGGCAATTTGATAAATGACATGACCCTTCATGTAGGTGTGATGTTTTGCAAAAGGATCAAGTCTTGGAGAATCATGTCCATTGTTAACATCATATAAATGCTCCAAATTAACATAGTGTAGCATATATTTGATAATTTGACTTGCAGTCAATCCAAAGAGAAGGCAACAATGGATATGCACCAAATTCCATTAAAAAAAACAATAGAAGATTATATTCATATTACTCTAGGACATATCCTTACTAGTCAAATTATTGCTGCTAAAATTATTTGTTGGTCAATATAACCTCTAGCAAAATGAGTAATTCAAGTGGGGCAGCAGTGAAGACAATGGTGAACAAATATTAAGTTTTGTTGTCTAGGCTTGATTATTCATATAAATGGAGAGATTGAAGAGATGTGTACCATAGAATTAAGGTTAAGAGATGGTCTAATTGGAGAAGGGATTCAGTTGTATTGTGTATTCAAGGTATACAACTGCAATTAAAATTTAATTTTTAGGAAAGAACCATTTTCTATTGGAGAAAATGTTGTGTAATCAATGATCACATAGGGCGAGCATAGTAGAAACTGAGATCTTTAGATTGATGTATAGGAAGGCAATAAAGGATAAAATTAGGAATTAGTGTTTTCTTAAGATTGTGCAAGTAGAATTCATTGGAGAGTGAGAGAAAACAAATTAAGATGGTTGGATAACATGCAAAAGAGATGATTGATTGCATGGTTTAGGAAAATGATGAGATCTAGGAAATGTAAGGATAAAAGAGAACCAAAAAGCGCAGACATTTCTACGCAATGTGTCCTATTATCTTTCAAATTTTCTTTTGCATGCAACACACTGCGGGCACTTGGAGGAGATGTGTGTCCATCACTTACACATACATGGAACACATTGCAATTTTGAAGAAAATAACTTGAAAGCCAATGATTAAATTCAGAATATACCTTTTTTAATATATTTTATTTAATCCCTTCTCCTTTAGGTGTGTAATTCGGGATTTCTAAAGCCTAAAATTTTCATTTTATTTATGAGTATAGCCTTGTAATGTAGATGTTAGTACTTCTTGTTCACACTTCTTTTTCAATATATAGAATGTGAAAAATATTTTCTTAATATTTTGATATAATAGAATATAAATGTATTTGCGATGTAAAAATTGAAGAAATTGTTATTATTCTTCTATATATATGTAAAAATCTATATTTATGTGTTGTGTCCCTCTCGTATGGTCTTAATTTTTTGAAATTGCTACATCGAAGTGTACATATCATGTCATATATGTGCTTCTTAGACACAAAAAGTTAATGCAGGCTATGGTTTATGAAACTAAAGATGGAAAAATAGAATTCATGTAGTCGGCCCAAAACAATTTGTTTAAAGCTTTGAGTTGAGTTGGACAGAGACCTATGAAGAAATCATTTACACTGTTGGTGAAAACAAACTACCCCTCCCGCACTTTCCCCCTGTTTTTCATTTGATATTATGATAATTTTAATGTTTCTTACAATGATTTTATTTATTCATATTTAGCAACTTGATCTCTCCTTCCCCTTATTGAATTAATAATGTGCTAGCTTCTGTTTCCCTTGGTTGCTCCCCGTTTGTTTCATTTTTGTGCCTTTAACTTTGTTCATGGGTGCATCATTTCTTGCTTGAATGGACCAATCACTTTATGCGGTCCCAATATTTGGTCTTTAATGGTGTAATGAGCTGAGTTCTCCTCTTATCCTTCCTTCGACAGATTAGTAAGGCTTTGTTTGGCAACTTAGCCACTAAAAAAAAAAAATCGAACATCTCAGTAACTTTTTTCAAAAAGTTAAAAAGCTACTTAAAAAAACAATTCCCAAATGAGGCCTAAGTTATGTTCTAAATAATATCCTATCCTCACATTCGTTATATCTTGTGCCTACATTCTTGTAGAATGATCGGAATTTTTTTTTGGGATCCTTCCTTGAAGAGTACAGTGAGTTGCATCCATACAATATTCTTTGCATATTCTTTACCCAATAACTTGGGTTTCTTGCATTGGTTTTTTCTGGACTTGTGGTTGCATCATCTCTACCCTCTTTCTGATGTAGTTGATGCTACATCTACACATGTATTCCAAACCATTCATTTTGTTTATTTATCTGGCAGCCCTGATGATTAGGAGTGTTTCCTAGATTACTTAGGTTGTTTGCTCGAGGATGACAGTAGCTGGTGTAATGCTGCTGATAGTGATCCAATTCATCCGTCAAAATCTGTGGACTGCAAGCTTGCGCACTTGTCAGATAAAGTGGTGCACATTTTAATCCTTGCATTACATAAATTATTGTTTGGTACAGTTCTTTCCACAAAAGTTTATGCTGAATTTGATTTGTGTGACTTGGATGTGTGCAGTTTGATTCTCATATATTAATTGCGCCAGCTTTTGTACAAAAGTTATTCGCAGAAGCCAGTACTGACTCTGCAAGATGTCCATACTTGGCAAATCTTGAGATTGAAAGGAGGAAATTCTTGTTTGGAAAGGGAGATGATGACAAACTAATCGAGGCTCTAATGCAATATTTTTTCAGGTATAGTACAACCTTTATGAATTTCTTACTTTTTTGGGCAAATTACATATACCCCCCTCGAGGTTTAGCAAAATTACAGATACCCCCTGAGGTTTGAGAAATTACAGATACCCCCTGAAGGTTATATTTGCATAACAAATTAGGGGGCAAATTGTTATGAAAATATAAACCTCAGGGGGCAATTTGTTATGAAAATATAAACCTCAGGGGGGTATCTGTAATTTCTGAAACCTCAGGGGGTATCTGTAATTTAGATAAATCTCGAGGGAGGTATATGTAATTTTCCCTAATTTTTTTGATGAACTATGGGAAAATGCTATATCACATGGACTTAGGTACAAGTGTCGGGCTTGTGCCTAAGCATTAGACCACCCTAACTCTAAATATTAGGATATAGGGATATGTATCCAAATTCTATGTTACATGAACATGTCTTGAACATTTAAATATATTACATATTGTATAATATTTTGACTTAATATGATATTAATTATTTAGAAATGTATTTGAAATCAAATAGGAATTGGGATTCAGGGGAAAAAGGGGATTTCTATCTCCTATCCACATGAATGGCTATAAATTTATCTTTACTATCAAATGTAAGTCTTTTCTTCTTCTAACATCATAAAAAATTAGACGATCCAAGCTTCAAATTTTTCGGAAGCTGGACATGTTACACTTGTGAAATTCAGCCGTAACAGGCAGTGACTGCCCATGCCACGTGTGTGTGTGAAGCCATTAGATCAATCATGGCAGTTACCAAGCTTATGGCAGTTACCAAGCTTGAAGCAGTGAGATTTGACAGGGTATTCTAAGCATAGAAAAACTCGTGACAAAGTTTCAAAGAGTAGTGCGCTTTATATAATAGTATAGATATGTATTTTTTTTTTTTTTTTGCAATTATAGTTTCAATAGTTTCATGATTCATACTATTGAATTTTATATATTAGCTATTCTTGTAAATTGTGGACGTTAAAAGTGACATAGATTACTTGTTTTTATATATTTATTATATGTCGTATATTTGAATATTATACATCAATTAGGCACCTCAATTAGGATTGTATATACTGGATTGATGAGACCTAAGAAAGTTTCATGTTTTGACAAATCTTGAACTTGCCTTGCCCCTTTTAAAACCTTGAGCTACATTACATTGCTCTTGAAATCACTAGACTGATGAAAGCGCACAAAGACAAAAATTGGTAGTTGGATTGTTCCAACAGAGTTTATTTATTTATTTATTTTGCTTGGAGACAGAGAGTTTATTAAATAGTGTAATTCTGCACAGGTTGATCAGCATACTAGTTTCTTTTTTATCTCCTTTTAGCCGAGTATTTATGCATGTGTACATTCTCTTTGCTTCTCTTCCTAGAATACTCGTTGTTGTGTGTTTTTCAGAATGCTTTCTAATAGAGAATTAGCTAGACACTCTTGAAGAAGAAAACAAGCCCATTTGACTAAGCTAGAAACACAGGTTTTGTCCTTTATCTTGTCCCTTGGGACCCAGCCTATAACACTCTGCACTTTCTCATCAAAGAATACAACACATGTATTTGCTGCATTAGATAAGCCAACTGTCATGTACAGTAGTAACAAGAAATTACTCTCCAACAATGTAAATTTGAAAGAGGTTAGTCATATGTGCCCTTTCAACTCTGCTGCTTTTCCGGACAAGTAAATTTGGTTCTCTCTCTTAATTTAAAGTTTTTTCCCCCTCATCATCGTCAATTGAAATGTTGGAACTTGATTCTTTTGTATTTTTGCTTAAACACACTTCTTGAATTGGAAAAGAAGAAATCTTTAATTGTTATTCTAGTCCATGCTTCTAAAGGTAATTATATGCCACTTCTTGGTAATTTTAGCTCAACAGTTTGTTGATGTTCTCTGTTCTGGTGTATCTGCTATATATATATGTTGTTCTGCTCTGCTAATCTGGTGTATGCGTAATTATTTACTCTGTTTTAGGTTTGATTTGTTCAACAAAGATTGGATTCTACTCTCATCTATTCATTTTAGGCCCTGATTCTTGAAATCCAGTGATTATTAAGGTAAATGTTTTTCTTTTATTTCATTAGCATAAGAAATATGAATGAAATTATGGAATTCAGAATATTTGAATTGTTTAGTATATTTAAGTGATTTACGGATTATAATTTTATAGTTTTTATTTTATTTTTTATTTGTATCTCATAATGCATGCTATCAACTTATTATGATATCTAACTTTTCGAGGGACTGCTCATATAACACCTAGCTTATTGATGAATTCAACCTTATATGTTACTTCTGTTAGATCGCCACTAATCCCAAAAGGTCAAGTTGTGTGGAAAGAGGCCCAACAATGCATATTGAGCTCTCCGACACCCTCGTCATGTGCAATCCCGTCTTGCATGTGGAGATGAAAACATCCTAACATGTGGAGAAACAAAATGCCAACAAGGAAACAAATGCATATATAGAACTTGAACCTAAGACCTTTATTAACCTGTGGTTTGACACCTTATTAGACAAACACTAGTAGTCCAGAAAATTTAAGACCTTAGGAAAGGGGCCCAACAATCATTACTTTGCTCTCCAATACTGTCACTTGGATTTATCTTTGAAAATGAATTTTCAGTTAGCCTTGATGCATCACTACAGTATGTACTAAGCATTGTAGTCTATCATGGTTACTTGCACTTTTTTACCCCTTTATGCCATTTTCAAGTATGGCTAGTCAGAGTGTTAATGTAAATCATGTATGATGTATCCACTTCCTACCGTGTCATTTACATGTAAGTTTGTGCACTTTTGTGTTATTTCTTCCCTGAGAAAAACCTAATTGGGTCTGTGATGTGCAGGTCGCCATGGATCATACCAATTCAAAGATTGGAACAGATGTACCACCAAGCAGTACTCCAAACTGGACAATTAACATTTCAGATGTGAGAAAAATACTTACTAAAAGTGCACACTAGTCGGTGCTTATAAGAAGTTCTTTTTATTCATAAACTGGACATCAGTGTGAATGTCTAAACCACTAGTTGGTGCTTATAAGAACTGCTTTTTATGAATTGGGTATCAGTGTGAATGACTACACCTTTGTCTTCAAATGCCTATATTCGGATATGTGTCCCCCTTATGTCACCAAGATGATGAGCACAGAATTTTGGACTTTGTTGAAGTGACTAAGATTCTGTCTTGCGTGAATCTATTATCTGCCAGTTTAACCAGTTTTGATTTCTTTAAATTTTGTTTTGCAAGTGGCAGGAGCCACGCCGCATTCAAAATTCAGTTAATGCAATTTGAATATTTCTTCTCCGTAATCACATTTTCTTAGTCATTACATGTACTTAGCTATTCTTTTACTTTTTTTTTCTTTTTTTTTCATAAGTAAGAACAGTTAAAGTCAGTAATATCTCACTAGCTACCTCTGAGAAGGATATTAAGGAATTCTTCTCTTTTTCTGGTGATATCCAGTATGTTGAAATGCAAAGGTCAGCTCTCTTGACTTACCCAGTGTTAAATTTCTTGCATAATCAATGCTCCATAGAGTTTGTGGCACGTTCTGCAGGGAAACTAAAACATCTTAGCTTGCATACGTTGCCTTCAAGGAATCACAGGGAGCAGATACAGATATGCTTTTGACTGTATGTCAATTGATTTTCTATATCAGTCTTGATCTCAATTTTTTCGTTGAATATTTTTAAAATAAAAAGATTTTGACTGAACGATGCAGTTCTGTACAATGTTGTAGAAATCAAACGTATCCGGAAGTCATGAAACCCTAATGTATGAAACATGTGCCTTATATTTTGTAAAATTAGGAAATTTCTAAAATATTTAGTTTAATAAAGATGTACGCAAAAAAAAATACAGAAAGAAAAGAAGATAACAAAACTTTACTTACAAAGAAAAAATTCTCAGTTAGGGGCTCACTCCTTGGAAATTTTTTGTCATGTGAACCGCAAGGTCTCACCTGAACAGTTTTTTAAGCCTCCTGATGGGAAGCTTGGATGTGTAAGCTTCCCAATCTTTAGAAATATTTTTTATGCAAATGGGTGCCATTTCAAAATTTCTATTAACCCTTAGATTTATTTTTTATTTTTATATTTTTGGCCTTTTTGATTCAGGGATCCACAATTGCTGATCTTTCAGTCTCTATTGCACGGGTTGAGAATTACCAGCTGCCTCCTATGCTCCTCCCCTAACCCCTGTAAGTACCACGACTATTAAAAATAGCACTTTAGTATCTGTTTTTATAATACTGTTCTATCTATTCATTCTAAAAATTTATAGATAATGCGAATGTAAAAAAAGTTGGATGGGCTAATGGCAGGTAAATTGGTCATGGACCTACTCACCTGATCTTGAGGACCACATTGTAGTTTTTTGGAAACCTTAGTCGCTTTACTGAAACCGCTATTAATGAATATATCAAGTCTTTTGTTTTAACTAATAATGTTTATATATCAATGGATTTTATGTGTTTCAGCATGCATAGTGGTATTTTTAGGTTATTGGGTTAAATCATCTGAAAGAAAATTAGGGTTAAGTAAGAAGAGAAGAAGGAAGAAGAAGAGCAGAGAAATAAGTTTAGGGCTTTATCATCTACTCTGCACCTCAGAATGTATTTATATTAGTGCGATATGAGATTACAAAACTACCTTTAAAATAATATGAAAAACTAACAACTCTAACAATCTAGTTTAGATCAACTACACTTGCAGACCAGTTTATATATTGGCTGTTTATCCTTGTGCCTTGTAAGTTCACAATACTGGTCTCTTGTACTTAAAAAATGAGGCCTCGTGGTAAATAAGTTCTATTGGGTATTTCCTGCAGTTTTAGTTATTAGTACATTTAGTACTTAGGGTGGCAGAATGTTTGGAAAATCATACTGTTTTATGTTATTGCCAGGTTATTTGCTATAGGAAAGTACCATCGGAAGAACAAATCAAAGACCTGTTGCGCAAGAAGAACTTTGAGGAAGCCATCTCCCTGGTGGAGGAGCTTCAAAGTGAAGGTGAAATCACAAAGGAAATGCTGTCCTTTGTTCATGCTCAAGTGGGTTTCCTCTTGCTGTTTGACTTGCATTTTGAGGAAGCAGTAAATCACTTCTTGCTGTTAGAAACTATGTAACCTTCTGAAATATTCCCATTTATCATGCGAGACCCAAATCGGTGGTCATTGCTAGTATATACTACACTTGCTTATTTCTATGGTCATGATATATACTACATTTGCTTGTGATATTGCTTCAACACCAGGCTGCTGATTGTGCTAGTTATTGATTAGCAAATTTGGCTGGAAAAATTTCTTTCTGGCAAATTATAAGTAGCTAATACCAAACTAGGAATGGTTTTTATGCTATACTTTGTTTTTCTTTTCCTTTTTTGGTTCAGTTTCATGGTTTCTTTGGAGTTTTAAACTAGGAAATCGTGCATCACTTGCATAAACTAAAGGTTTCTTATGCTTTGTCACACTTAATTACAGATAATGATTGATGCAGTGACCTGTGAACTAATACTTCATAGAGATTTTTTTCCTCACTAGTTTTTAATTTGAGAGTTTCTTGGTAATTCTACATGTTGATTGGTGTTAAAAGTAAGTATTTTATTATGAGGTGTTGTTACTTGCTCAATTGTTGGTAGTTATTATTTGTGTTGGTCTAGGATTCTGGAAAAGTTTATTTGCTAAAACTAAGTATTCTTGTGAGTGTATTTTCTAAAAGTTTCTATTTAATTTAAATTCTAACTTGAGCTGGGTTGTGAGTCTTTAATCCAGCCTGTTATTAACTTAAATAATTTCTTCAAAATTTGAGTTCCATCTGGTCATAACTTTGCTTGTGCCTTTGATGTAAGATGAGGTTTAAATACAATGAATGCTTTGTCTTGGTTAATGAACGATTGCGGAAATTTTTGTTGATTTGAATGGGGATAGCAGTCATGATTCATGGTTATGGTTCATTTCTTTCCCTTTCTTTTTCTTACTTTGTGAATTTCTTCTTCTACGGAACTTCTCAAAGCCCTTTGTATCACTAGAATCTAATCAAACACTTTGAATACTTTTGAACTCCCCCCCCCTTTTTTTTCCCATCATTCAAACCGAAATATCTAGGTAATCTTGCATAAGGGAAGCTCTAATTTAATTCTTGTGGAGTTCATGTGATACAAACATTGTTAGAGAATCTCACTTGTACATAACAACTTGGAACTACTTTAGTTGGAGCCGCAAACCCCCCCCCCCAAAAGTATCCTCTTATTGCAATCAGGGAGGCACCCACACCACCTTCCATACTAGTATATCCCAACAATATTGTGACTGGGGGATTCTCTCTCTCCCACGTAGGCACTTGCATGCTTGCTCACCATGTTCTTTATCTTTTTAAATGAAATTGAAAAGATAATAGATGGGTTGATTTGATATGAAAAAATGGTTTCAGGGGCTCTTAACCCAACATGATGTGAACTTGTCCTTTATCTCTTAGATTTATTTTATCTCTAGTTGCTTGGTTTTGCTTGGAATATTGTTTTATACACTCTTGAAGAGTTTGGTCTTTTCTCAAAGTATGTAAGAAGGGAGGGATTGCTTGAACTTTACTAAATTTGTGGGATAAGTAGTAGTGATAGCATTTAAGAAAGAGATTAGGAAATTGTATATCTTGGTACTTTTCATGTTGTGGAGCACTCCACTGTTACTTAACTTTGCATATAAATATTTGATGACTGGTCTTATTTGGGGCAATTTGTTGTGAAATTACTCGATTTCATAGTAGCACAGAAACAGGAAGATGCTATCTTAGCTGGATTACGACTTTGTGTGTGTGTGTGTGCTCTGTTGCAAATATAATTTAAAATTCTGCGTGTGATTTATACGTCTTGAAATAGTCTACCTCTATCACTTAACCATTGGGACATGCTTAATAAGCAGGTCTTGCAACTATTCTTTCAGTTCTTTCACTTCAGCAGTAGCCATTCTGTAGGGAGTTTTTGAAATAGGCTGAGTGCCTGGCACAACTTCAATGGTGAACTCTATCTCCCTGTTTACTAATTCCCCTGGTAATTCATTTGGAAACACATTTGGAAATTCTTTAACAATAGGGATACTGTTCAATTTTACATTCACAGATTGTTCAGATAGCACACAACACAAATAACCCTGGCATCCTTTCCTGATCAATTTACATGCTTTCATTGCAGATATCAAATAAGGTAGAGGCACTACCCCGTTACCCACAAACACAATTTCTTCCTGTTCCGGTGGTTTAAATGCAACTCGTTTTGTTACACTTAAAACAAGCTCCTGACACACGGTAATAAACTCCGCGATGCCTTTTACTACAAACATTGCATATTGGAGATGTGTCTCGGGAAGAATTAGAAGTACTTGAGGAGCTCGTATTCTACTTTTTGGAAAATTTCTTTTTCGAAAAGAAGCCTTGCCTTTTACTACCCTTCCAGTCAGTTGTTGATTTGGCCTGTCTGGCTATGTTAGCTTCTGATATTATGGCCCGGTCCAGCACTTCAATATAGGTCTCCAGTTTGAGAACATTCACCCTTTCTAAGATATCATCTCGAAGTCCTCCTTCAAAATGTCTTGCTTTCTTGTGGTCAATGTCAACCACATGTGGTGCAAATCTAGCCAATTCAATAAACTTGGCTTCATACTCAGCTATTGTCATACTGTTTTGTTTAAGTTCCATAAATTCTGACACTTTTCTGTCACGGACACACTGTGGAAAGTATTTGTCATAGAAAATTTCCAAGAACCATGCCCAACCAATATCTTTATGGTTTTCACGCATTAGCATCCACCACCTTCTTGCCTCATCTTTAAGAGTAAAAGTGTCTAGCAATACTTTCTGTGTTTCTAGGCAAGGAAACACTTCAAACAGTTTCTCTATGCCAAGGACCCATGCTTCAGCCTTTAACAAATCCAATCCCCCATGAAATTGTGGCGGTTTCATTTTCTTAAACTCTTTGGTGAGAGCTATTATTCGGTCATCATTCTGAATATCTTGGATAGGTGGTATTGGAGGAGGAGGCGGAGGATGTGGTGGTTGCCACTGTTGTTGCTGCCTCAATGTTTTTGCCATTTCCTGTATCAATCTTTCCATTCTATCCATTCTGGCAGTAGAAGACTCCTCCATTTCATCACCTCTTGCTCTTACCATTTGATTAGACTTGCATTATTCTTTATACAAAAGGTTCACAAGTATGCATATACTAAAGAGCACACATATTCAAATAATTTGTAATGCAAGTAAATCATAAGCATATAGCACATAATCATTCATCTTGAAACATTCCAGCATGTTCTTAATGCTTTCAGATTCGTATTCATCACATGAATGCATTCTAGATCTTTTCTAGATGCCTATTGCTCATTTGGACAAGTGTATGAATTATTAACTCGTGCTCTGATACCACTTTGTCATGACCCGAACCCATCCCTATGGATTAAGGTCATAACTGACCAATAATCCAGGGATTACCTATGGCCTCAAACCAAATAAACATATATCATCAGAGTTAAGGGGCCAAACGGAAGCAAACGTAAAAATTGTCCATAAAGCCGTGCTTACATGGCACATCAAAACATCAAATATATGTATTGGTTAATAACTCACACCAAAAGGAAAATAACTTAAAATTTCATACACACAGGATCATTCAAGTCTTAGTCAGCCAAGCCAAAACTTATATACAAAAGCGATCCAACGTTTTTGCCAACATTGCAAAATTTATAACATAACAAAAGAACAAAAGGGCAAAAACAAGCCTCGTGCGTGAGACGTTTAGGCTGACTCCTCAAAACTTGACTGTTTCTCACATGCTTCACCGGGGCTGGGTTTGGACATCTCTTGGCTCACCTACATACACATGAATAAGAATGAGCGAAAGCCCAGTGAATAATATCAAATAAAGAAGATACATGAATGAAGTTTGAAATAGATATACATAATAAGACGGCCTTAGGCCCATTTATGGTTTTATCTAGTATATTAGATGGCTTCAAACGGCCTCTGGCCCATTTCATTCATGTTCAACGGCCTTTGGCCTAATCATTCATGTCCGATGACCTTTGGCTCAATCACTCATGTCCAACGGCCTTTGGCCCAATCATTCGTGTCCAACGGCCTTTGGCCCAATCATTCATGTCCAACGGCCTTTGGCCCAATCGTTTATATCAAACGGCCTTTAGCCCATTCGTTTGTATCAAACGGCCTTTGGCCCAATCACATGGCATAACAAATATTGTCCACCGTTCAAATCAACAAGCTTATGAAACTCAAATAAGAGTAAACCATTGGTCAAACGATATACTTTAAATATCTTTTCTAAGATATTACTCACAGTGTTCTGCCAGTGGATTCGTCCTTGTGCTCGACCCTACATAAATCATAACACATAATGGGTCACAAGCAATTCAATCCGTTCTTAATTTACTCATTCCTCTTAGGCCCCTTTCTTATCTTTTCTCTTAATTCATTCACCATGCTCAATGCATGCCTAAGAGTGCTTAGAAGTGAAAGAGAACGGAAAACAAGGCTTCCCGCTCGAGCGGACCACTTTGGTCTGCAAAAGTGCTTGTTGCCTCATTTTTGCGCTCAAGCTCAACTTTGGACGCTCAAGCTGAGAGTCAAAATTATGTGTACAGACGCTTGAGTGTAACCCTTCCCGCTCGAGCAGACATCAACGACTACAAAAGTTTTGGGAACTAATATTTCACGCTCGAGCGGCTATGTCCCCGCTCGAGCGGACACGCCAAATTCTGGAATTTTCAGAATTGTTCTTGAAGTTCAAACTCAATGTCCAAGGTTTCAAAACTCAAGTTTTGGACACAATTACATAGAAACACATCACATAATATGAGAACATAACCAATATGAGGCCAATTGTTCAAAATCGTGATTTAATTCTCAAATTAGCTCACAAAACACATAGCTTCATGATAAACTTCAATGTACATATCACCAAACTCCATAACTTCATGAATTATACATGCATATGTAATATAGACTCCAATACCATTTCAAATGACACAAGTGATGTTTATACTCATGAAGCTCAACAAAACCATGCTTGTATGTATGATCCAACACTCAATTTTTCATAATTAACATGCTACATGTTAGATTATACAAATTCATGGTAATTTCTTACATGCATGCATTCATTG